CAGGCACAGCATACAGTATAAGTGCAGCTTCCTATGGTGTGGCTTACATGTACAACCCCTATTACTGATTAACAGCTTTGGTTAGGCTTTGAACTTGTACCTAAAAAAGAAAGATTTAATATAACTATTACCACATTAAATAAAACCATCCAGCTGTATAGATGGGACCCATGAGAACATGTTCCACAAATATATTAAGCAGCACAAGGCTTTTCAACAATAAGAAATGTTCCTCAAGCACCAGTCACCATCACAGGAATACACTTATTTTAAATATTTCACAGTATTACTGTTTTTACGAAATGTTTTTTTTTTTTTTTTTACAGTTATTTTTATGGGTTTTTTATTCAGATAGGACAGTAGAGAGACGACAGGAAATTCCTGGGAAAAGAGAGGAGAGCGGGGTCTGCAAAGGACCTCGAGACGGGACTCGAACTTGGGTCAGCGTGAGTGCAGCTGCACTATATGTCGACACACTAACCACAAGGCTATTGGCGCCGACTTTACTAAATGTTTTGATCAAATAAATGCAGCTGTAGTGAGCATAAGTAACTTCTTTCAAAAAACATTAATAAAACCATTAAAAAACTTGTTCTCACTTTGTTTTAAGGTTCAATTTTCACTATTAACAAACCATTAATTACGACTTTTGCCTCAAACTCCTAATTTGCTGCTTATTAATAGCTATTAAGGTAGGTTAGTTGTTAAGTTTAGGTATTGGGTAAGATTAGGGATGTAGAATATGGTCATGCAGAATAAATGCTTTATAAGTACTAATAAACAGCCAATATGTTAATAATATACATTCTAATAAGAAACTACTTAATAGTGAGACTTGGTCTCTATACTAAAGTGTTACCAAAAACATTTATGAACTTTGGAAATTGTGTAGAAATTAATATAATTTTTTATGATTTTCAGATCATTTCCTTCATTTTTCAATACTGTGAAAATCTTCCCAGTGCCCCACATACAGGAATAGATTGTTTAGTTATGAAATATACAATATACAATGTTTGTTATTGAACTCACACACACAAAAATTCACATACAAAAGTGGTTCCGTTTCTATAAAATATAAATGTATTATTTATATTTATTATTTGAATAAATCTAAATCTATTACAAGTAATCTGATAATAATGTTTCATATATTATGAAGTGTTGCAATCTGTTCTGGTGTCAACCACCTCTATTTCTCTTTTGGTTCAGTCACAATGTGAAGTCATAACAGTCGTGTGTGTGTGTGTGTGTGTGTGTGTGTGAGAGAGAGAGAGAGAGAGAGAGAACTTTGGAATGAAGGTGAAAGGTAAAAGAAAAAGAACAAAAGGAATGTGCCACATGAGTTCACAGTTTTCCAAATAAATGGCATCATTCTAATAAGTCAACTTAAGATAATTATTACCCAAAATATGAGTGGGTTGTTTGATGCAAACATTTAGCTTTAATGGGCAAGTCAAAGTTGAATGGAAATGTCCATATTTGTCCTTCAATGGAAATCCAGTTATAATATTTGTTCAAATCCCTTGAACCTGTTGTCCCCCCACCAACTGCCGTCTGGTGTGTAGCTTACTCAAGAATTAACATCTCCAAATGACCCGACATTTAACAACCCTCTACATTGCGAGTAAATCACTCGCATATGCGACTAAATCTTCACTCTGGGCGACTAAATGATGTCTACTATTAGCCAATGGCTAATAAATTCTCAGATTTTACTCCCAGTGTGTGAGTAGGAGGCTACGTATAAGTTTAGCACAGATATATTTTCACTCGCCGAACACTCTGACTGAGCGCTTCAGAGTTTCTCTCTCCATCAAGCGATCTGTGCTATTTTTCAGTTCATCTGAATGGATGTGTAACGCACCTGTATTTGACGTACCGTAAACTCTAGTGTGAAGCGCAGGACTCGCCGTCGCTTTATCTCACACACACGCAGAGAGAGAGAGAGAGAATTGACGCGCTACATGTAAACGATATTCTTTGTTGTATTTTCCTGTAAAAATAACAGAGTTCCTTTGGAATTCTTCAGCTTTCAAGAACTACCGCTTTCTCCGGTAGTGGGCGGAACTAATGCACAAACGACAATCTCATTGGCTGACGCTCACCTATTATCATCCCTGTTTTGATTTCAGCAAATCAGTTCGAGCGAACAACCTGATTAATATTCATGAATCCAGCAGCTCATTAATCCTTAGTGCGTTTTAAATTTAAATCCTTATTAGTAGAATTCGTATCA